GGTCTATAAAATTCATGATTCTAATTGGCGGTAGCTGACAGGCTGAAGAAAGCAATGACATGTCCAGTACCACAGGAAAATAGATTGTAGCTAACCAGAGGAGTATAATCTTTTAGTTTTTCTGTGCTTTTACTTAGTTAGTTTACTGATTTTGCTGAATATTTCCTTGTTTTAACTGACTGAAGTTTTTCCCAACAAATCCAATTTCTCATTTTCTTTCTCCCTCGGTATTATATTTTTTTACTAAGTCTAAATCTTTTTTCTTATGTTTTGTGCTATGAATGTTTTCTCTTGGAAGCCACTGTCTAAATGGATGGATGAAGAACTCACAGGTGACTAGAGTGTCACTGACAGCATTGGGCAGTGGCAGTTTTCCTTACAGTTGTGATGTTCTTGAAAATTTTTGTATGGAATCAGAACACTCTTTCTGTTCTCGAAGATGTTAAAGGGAAAAGTAGTGTTTTCTGGGCAAACAAGAGAAGTGTATTAACATACTCAAAGGACTAAGTTTGTTCTTCTTTTTCTTGTTTCCAAATGTTTCCAAATGTTTGTCTTTTCACACTTTGTCAGAGTTCTGATCCTTTTTCTCTCTGATTAATAACATCATATATATGTCTTTTTTTCTGAAGAGACTTGACAATGACAATTCTTATTCTGTGTATGAAAGAAGATGAAATATAGCTTCATTTAATATGACTTACGAAAACCAGTGTACTTTAAAGACAAATTCAGAAGCAATTTGAATAAGTATTTAAACTATAGACAGAGTAATGCTTAGCTATTACAGTGCTATTCTATAAAAGTTAGTAATAAATATGTTTTATAAGCAACCTTGTTTGTGATAAACTGGGTGAAAGCCTTTTTGAGTGGTCTGAATCTAAAGGGTTTTACAGCTCCCAAAGTGTCTTGCCTCATCCTTTGTTAGGAGTTAAAAAAGAAAGAAGGGGAAGCTGAACATTTTGTTGCTATGTGAGTCTTTTAGAAACAGCAGGAGCTGCCTTGAGGGACAAAGCAATAACAGTTTTACTCTACCTGAAGATATCGTCAAGGGTTCTCAGCACTTCTTCAAGTGCCAATCAACAGAAGAGGAGGGATGCCACCTGGTGACAATGAAGGTTTAGGTATGAGAGCTATGTGGATAGCAGTGAGCTCTTGCAAAAGTATTTGGTCACTTGCCAGTGACATCTACAGCCTGCTTAATCTGTACATATCCATCAAATTGGTGCTTTCTGACTTACTCATAGTTAGTTGCCCTCTTTTCTCCTTACTTGCTCCTAAACCCAGACTGGCTCAGCATGGTGCCTCCCATCTCAAGTGAATGAATATCAGCAGGGTTAATTATGTAATTAAGAGAGGAATGTGCCTCATTTCATTTGGGGCATTGTTTATGCACAGAATTAGTTCTGGAGCCTGGGATACAGCTTAAATCATGTTAAAAATGGATATATGAGTGGGAAAAAAAAAGCTTGTTTTCTAGGAGGAAAATAGTGGATTTTGTGATATTTGAATTGCTGTCTGTGGTAAACTAGACTAAATGCGAGTTTAGATTTCAAACACCTCCCCCCATGCTTTAATCAATTTTGTATTCTCTTTGGCATGTAGTTTCAAGAATTAATATGAGTGCTTTCCTTCATGCAACAAATCCCTACAGAAAGAAATGAGTGACTGAATTTCTATAAATGTCTTGAAAGTGTCTTGTGTAAACTTTGTATTGATATTGGTTCCTCAAGATGAAACCAACTTAACTGAATGAGAGATTTTCTCTGAAAAAGTACACGTGCATTCTGCTAATAAATACCTTTTAGTGTATAGCAAATACTAAATACATTTAGGTATTTAGACTGCTTTATGTAATATTTGCAAATCAATGTTATTGTCAAATAAGTTAAAGTAGGAAATAGTGCCTGAATAAAGATTATTTTTTAAAACAAGTCTTTGGACAAATGCCTCTTGCACTGCACTGACTCTTGCATGCTGTGGGTGCAGCCAAGTGGCACACTGCTCCAATATTTCCTGAGTATCAAGCTGGTTTTTACTCTGCTGCATTGTAAAGTTAAGATGCAAAATACATGGAAAAACTTGTTTCTCGAGTCTGTGTCAGAGCATTTTTTTTCATGCATTAGTGTGGCACATTTTCATTTACTTGGATAGTGTCATTTCTTTTGTGCTGCTTATCTTTGTAATCCTTACACATTCTGTGCTTTCATGGACGACTTCAAGTCACCCTTTTATTACTGTTATGTTCTTTCAGCACTCACGTTGCGGATCTTCACTAGGTTCTCTGTTTTAAAACTTTTGTACTCTTTTAGGTAGTGAACAAATGAAAAAAACGAAAGTGAAATCTAATACAACAGTGTAGCCTTGTAAAAAGTGAATGAAATAGTATGCAAAAAAAAAGAAGTATAATAAAACATTCAGGATGTATCTCAAACCTAAGATCAAGTGAGTGTTTTCTGTTTAGCCTATATTTTCCTGTTAATCTTTCCAGCACAATGGAGTATTTCACTAGAACAGAAGGATTTAGGTGGAATTAAAGTTTTTCTATTTAAACTGAAAGTCTTATCCTTGAATATATAAACTAATCTTTTAAACCGATTTAATTACTTAAAGAAGTTAAGTAGAAAGACAATAATATATTTTAAACATTCTAAACACAGAGAGTTTCCTTGTATACCAATGAAAGTTAGTTTACTTAAAGATGGATCCAGCTTCTGAAACAGGAAAAAAAAACTCCTGGTGAAAAGGATTTTGGAAACGTCCTTGCGCAGCATATCCATACAACATATGAAAATGGCTTTTTTTTTTTTTTTTTAATAAATGATTTCCAGTGATTAAAACTTTTAAGCTGCATTAAGCAAAGCTATGTATCCAAATAAAAATGATGCATTATTGATCAAATGACTTACATACTGCTAGAGTATTCTTCTATATGTAATGTTGATTTAAAAATAAAAAATGTTGAGACATGCACAGGCATTTGATAGGAGAAGCAGTGTATGGCAAAATTTAGAGAAGATTTTTTAGGCATATATTGAACTTACTATTGAACTATTTGGGTGTCTTGTTGACTTCCTAGCACTGCCAGGAATATCATATAATCATAGAATCGTTAGAGTTGGAAGGGATCTTTAAAGATCATCTAATCCAGCTCCCCTGCAATGAACAGCAACACTTGCAGCTAGATCGGGTTGCTTAGAGTCCACTTGACCTTGAATGTCTCCAAGGATGGAGCATTCACTGCCTCTCTGGTCAACTTAGTGCCTCACCACCATTATTGTAAAAATATTTTCCTTATATATGCAGTCTAAATCTGTCCTCTTTTAGTTTGATGCTATTTCCCCTCATCCTGTCACAACAGACCATGCTGAAGAGTCTATCCCCTTCTTTCTTACAGCCCTTCCTTGGATACTGAAAGGTCATTATTGATCTCCCTGGAGCCTTCTCCAGGCTGAACGTCCCCAGCTCTCTCAGCCTGAATATCAAGACTTAACTTTAAAAAACGTTGAATTGGAGATGATGAGGAAGAAAAATGATTTTTTTTTTTTCACTGTTCCACTTATGCTTACAAAAAAGTGAGTTGAGCTGTGTTTCTTTCAGGGGAATTCATCATTACATGAATACTCATTTTTACTGTGCCCCAGTAGGTAGGAAGGAAGGTGAACTGCTTAAATTTGGGGTGTTTTAATTTGAGAAGTTTTAACTTTTTATTGAGCTGTGTTTCTTATAGTGCTATCTCTCGATCAAGGGAGAGACAAAAATTAAGAGAAAGTGCTTAGTAGCTTCAGGGGCCTAGTTAGGCTGGCGTGCCTAACTGAATACATGATTTTATCTCAACTGAGTGGCTGTTACTCCTTCTGTGGATTGGAGGAAGGACTTTGAAATCTATAGGGAATTCTTGAGAACATGCTGTGTGTTGACTAAAAGAAAATCAATTTTAACAAAGTTGTCAGCCCTCTAGAGTTACTACTTGTTTCTTCTACTGCTGTGGAACAGTCAACAGCACTTGCAGAACAGTACATGTCATGATGCCTCTCCGGCAAGCAGGAGCTGTAGCTTTGTCTGTATGATGAATGGAGAATGTGAGCAGGATTAATATTCTTTTCACAGTGGTTTCTTGTTTGTTATCTGAGAAATGGACAGTGGTTCAATTCTACCTTCACACATCTTTTAGAGAGTTTCCCTGAAGTTCGTGCAGTGACTTTAAAAAGTAAAGCTGCTAGTCAGCGTAAGATTATGAAGGACACCATTAGGGACAAATCAAATAAGCAAAGAACTGGATTATTTGGACTTTGTCTCATGAGTAACACTCCAGAAGGTGTTTGTGGTGTTTCAGTATTGATTAGCTGATCAAGAGTGCTTGCTATGAAAAAGGGAAAGTTCATTTTCCAAATACACATAATAAACTCTCTCCTCTATGCCTTCCAGTTGTGTCTTTGGGAAAAATTAGTGTAGTCAAAAAGCATGTTCTGGTGTATGGCAAACCTCTCAGACCCTACAAAGGTGAGATTGTACTGTGATAGGTGTAAGATTTTTATAGCTGCATATTATTCAAATAAATAAGCAAGTGGTAGTAGATACTTCTGGCCTACTCTAGAAACTGTGGGTTTTTTTTGTTTTTGTTATTAGAATGTTACTTTCCTCACCCCTCTTCTACCCTGTTAAGGTAATCGTCCTTTCTGAGTTTGCAGAAAGGACTCAAGTGCTGCCCTTGAGGTGTGTTCTTAGAGAAGACTAGAAGAAAGGCCACTTGCAGACTACAATCCATCTTGCCAATACAATTTCAAGGCACCTAATCTGTGTGATATATAACTTTCTGCAGAAGAAGAATTGAAAAAAAGTCAGTTTTGAATTGCTTCTCCTAAAAGTATTAATCTTTAAGAATGAGGCTGTGTATGCTTTGAATTTTGATGTGTCTCTCCTTTCTCTCTCTCTAGCTGGAATGCTTGCAGCTTTCTCTACAGGATTATAAGCTTTGATGTTCAAAAGAGCAAAACTAAAAGATGCCATCTGAGAGGTGCCTGAGGTATAGTACTTGATAGCACATAGTAAGTCATTCCCATTTAGTGTGTTGTTTACTAAAGCATAAATTAGCAGTGAAATATGAAATTAATATTTTTTTTGCTCATTATTCACATTATGATCTGCAAGAGATTGCTTTCTTGCTGCTACTTATGTCTAGCAAAGGGAAACATGCTAGAGTTTGATTGGGTCTCACAGTTCTCTTCATCTATTATCTTGTTTATGGTCCTGTTTATACTTGAAATTTTTGATTGTGAAAGCAACTACTGTTTTACATGTATGTACATGAAATGGTACCCGGTGATCATTTTTGATGTTTGTCGTGTTCCAGTATTCAGGACATATGTTGATCTTTCAGTTGTTTCAAATTCTTTCAGCCTTCCAGAATTTCTCATTTTGCCTTTCTCCTTCTTCCACAGTCGTAGTCATCCATATTTGCTTGCTAGTCCAGACTTTCTCATTTATTTGTATTGCCCATTGTCTCATCAGAGACTTTGATATTTATGATTTAATTAGTTTCTGAGAGCACTGTCAGGAAAAAAAAAAAAAACAAAACAACAACATTTCATCAGAATTTATTTATCCAGTTGCTTTTTCTTTGGAACTTTGCTCTATTCTAATATGCTGGTAGTTTCACCACTGTTCTATTTCAGAGAGTAGCTAATGCTCACAGGCTGATCTGGGATCTCCGTGGTCTGATATTACTAGGGTATTGTATCATTCCTCTTCTGAACAAAAACAGAGAGAAACCATCTCTAGGTATAATAAGGTTATAATGCTTGCACAGTTAATCTTCCAATGTTATTATATTCTCTGTTTTCCTAGGAAGAAAAAAAGGTTTTTGCAGTTAATACAGAAGAGGGAAACCAGGTTGAGAAGACCATATTCTGCAGTTCTTCAGAACTCAGTAGCAAAACTAACAGTTAATCTTTCATTACAGATTCTTTATTGTTGTTGAAGACTGCAGAAAGAATATAGTTTTATTCATTTATTCTTCATTTTTTCAATTCAGAAGTTGAGCTGGTAGCATTACCTCCATAAAACAGTAGTTTGATGCAGTTATTTTACTGTAGAAATAACAGAAGAGAAATAATGGTTAGAAATAATTTCCTTTTTTTAAAAAGGAGTATGTTCATACATCCTTTTTTTAAAAGGGATGTATGATAGTATAGTAAGTGTTGATGGGAAAGAATTTAGCAGCCACGCAGCTGCTGACATAGCTTGTGCATGTAGCGAACTGCGTGATTTTAGTGGAAAGATGCTAGTTTATTTATCCTGTCATTAAATATTGAGTTATTCAGGATTGGCTCTCTTTAAAATCATTTCCTCTAAGGTACTAACTTCTCAGGCAGTATAAATTTGTATAGTCTCTCAGATTTCAGATGAACTGCATTGTTTTGTCCCAAAGAGGCTCTGCAGATTTGTTTGTTTGTTTGTTTCTGTCTTTGTTCAGGACTGTATTTGCATATAAAAATACATTTGCAGTTATACCGTCTCTTCCTTTTGTGCTAGAAAAGGAAGCTGAAACCAGATAGTCCTAGGTTGCATGTCACAGAAATCTTGCATTTGTACAATCTGTTATTCAAAGGTGGTGGAAGGCTTCATTATTAAAACAAATAAAAGAACAACAACAACAAAAATGATGCTTTAAAAGTGTAAATGACCCAAAATAATCTGAAAGCTTTGAGTAATCTAATATCAGACTTAAACAGGCCACTTGAGATCAAGACTCTTCATTCTTTTGAGTAGGGCTGGTTAATTCAGGCACACTCCACAAATTGTCAATTTGGATTTTCTGTCATTTCATTCACATAGGGCTTTATTCCTCTCATATAATTCTTAAATGGTTTTGAGTTAATTCTGAGTGCAGTTGACATCTAGCGCAGCAAATCAGAATGGCTGAGATTTTTATTTGAGTATGTAATATGGTTTTATAATACTGCTAAGCTGTGATTTTCTTGAAATGGATATGCCATGTAAAGATTTTACCTAGATTTAGATTTCATAATTTTATTTCAAAAAAATATCAAACATTCTTAGAAAACATTGTTATATATTGCTTATAGAATTGTTACATATTGCTTTCCTGCATTTATTTACAAAATATTTCCTCCTTTCCCTCTCAGTGTTCAAGAAATGTTGACAGGTCAGAGGCTTTGTCAGTCGAGCTCCCATAATGATGCTGTTCTGGCAGCACTGAATCAACAAAGAAGCGACGGCATACTTTGCGATATCACCCTTATTGCTGAAGAGCAGAAATTCCACGCACATAAGGCAGTCTTGGCAGCCTGTAGTGACTACTTTCGAGTAAGTCTAAAGATTATTATTTTTATTTCTTATAGTAATATTAAAAATTACCCTGAATGTTGGAGGGAGAATGGTTATCTGTATCATGCTGAACAAAATAAAATCGAATCTTTATAAAATTCATGATAATTTCATCGAGTATTACAACTTCATTACATACAGACATACACGTGGTAGGAAAGAAAAACAAATAGAAACTTTCAAACTTTCAGAATCAGCTATAAATATGGAACTCAGCCAAATAATTTTGGTTATTAATGGACAAAAAGCTTTGTTAAAAAGTAAGCAATTAGATTTATGCTTTGTAAGAATATGGCAAAAAGTAGCAACATACTATATTCCTGATTCTAATCATTTAGAAAAGAGCAAGGGTTAATTAAGTGTTGTGAATTTAAACTGGAATTATAAATGTTTTTGTAGCTGGGGAGATGTTGCTTAACTTGTACTATTCAGGTTTTGATTTTCTAAGAATCAGGAGAATTATGCCAATTTTTATTCAAAATCAGTGAAGAGAGAATGTTATCTCCAGAGGTTGTTAAAGGAGGATAAAAGATTTATATAGAATTAGTTGAGTCACCATTTGGAAGTGCCAGATTTATATCCACTGGTCATAAAGAATAGATTTAACTGCTTCAATTTTAGCTGTTAAAATTACATAAAGAGGAGTTCTACCTTTGGTGTTTCCTGGATTTTCTTGGAGGAATGTTGGAAGAACCTTGCAGATTTTCTAACCATGCTGAAGTCATTTCTGTGAGGAACTGACATTTCACTAATTTTTATGAGATTTTTTTCATGTAAGCACAGGACCGTAGGGGATAGGATTCTGAGAACATTTGATGTTGGAGTTGCCTTGGATAAAATTTAGAAGACACAAATCGGAGAGAGTAAAGCCTTTTATGACAGGGGCTGTAGAACAAATCAAACACATCCTTGCCAACTTCAAAAACTACCAGTTCTTTGTAGGAGAGAACATGAATCCAGATGGTATGGTGACTCTCCTGGATTTCCGTGAGGATGGTGTGACTCCTTATATGAAGCCTGCCTTCTGTAGCTTCAGAATTCATACTTTTGATGAATATACTAACCTACCTTCAGCTCTATCTGGAGGGGTTGTTATCCAGTTCTTATTTTTATATAGATTACCCCAACTGTGTACTCAGGTCTTCAAAAGGCTCTGTCAACACAAATATTTGTTTTTGTTTTTCTTTTTCACCACTTTCATAAAGTAATCTGTACAAGTGGCTGAATATTAGCTTGATAGAGATCCTGGTTATGGTTTTCTACCCATTCTGCGTCTATTTTGATTTAAATTAAACCACTGTTGAGATTGTCCTTTCTTATTCTGAGAATAAGAAGTCAGATAAGCAGTATTTTTTTTCCCCAAATTGTGACTTATTCACTTGTTTTAGTACAATGAAAATTTGTTAACACTTGAAGGATGACTGCATGTCCTGTTAGAAACTGATGAGGGAGTAAGAACTACTGTATGTAGAAGAGTGGTGAATGTCAGAGATTGTCTTACTATCATTTTTTTCTTTGGCACAGATAAATTCTTCATTTGTTTTTTTAAGACAAAACAGGGACCTGACCTTCAACAAACAGTGGATTTGACCATGATATCTTTTGGATAGTAGCCTGCCATCCTGTCTTTTAGTTGGTATAATTGATCTTGTAGTTTTGGCTGTGCTGAAATATCAGAATTGAAAATAGAATAGTTCAGTCAGAAAGGACTTGCAATGTCTGAGTCCAGCAGGCTATCCTAAACACTGAAGTGAGACAAGAAGTTTGAGTTAGTGAGTGAGTGAGTATATGTGCATTTTGATAGCTCTAGAAGGATAAGTAATTTCCAGATAATTTTTTTCTTTTTTTTTTCCCTTTTTTCCCCTCTGGGAGCAAAATGAAATGTTGCTGCCTGACTTCATTTGTAGGCATTTTCAGTGCTGGCAGGTGATTATGTAAGCACAAGCTTTTCTCGTAGAAAATACATTGGTTTTTTAGGTCAAAATAACTCTTTTCTCCTTCCTTATTTTTCACTTGGGGATGTTTATTGTTATAGGACTTGATTTTTTTTTTTTTTTTTGTCTCAGAAAAATGTACTTTTTTATGTTGTCTGAATGAACAATTATATCAATTAACTAGAATAGACTCAGAAATCTAATAATTCTATTAATATTTCTAAACTATTATAAAATGTCAGTAGTATCCTGTGCTATTTCTTTTTTCACAGTAAGCTTTTCAATTCTTAAGAGAATCCTTTGAAGTTAACCAAATGGATACTAATTTTGTTTACTGTCTTTATTGTCTTTGTATTTATAGCTGTCACAGTTGATTGTTAAACAGTTTGTTTTTTCTGTGCTGTCTTTCATCTCTCTAAACAGAATATATATTCCTGTGTAAGTATCAGTGTTGATTGCTCTTATTTTTATAAACAAATTCTGATTGAATGGAGAAAATTGTTTCTGAGGTCTTGTTATATGAGTCAGGAAGAGGAAAAGGCTCTCCCTCGCTTATGAATAGATTTAAGGACCTGTAGTACTGATGACATGCTATTGTAACCTGGAAGTGATGCTGATATAGAAATCCTTTTTCCAGGTAATCTTTAAAAATGTTAGCTCTTCTCATTGGATCAAATAAATTGTTTGGTTCAGGAAGCATCTGTTCAGTACTGAGTACTTGAGACTTTTGTTCAAAAAGAGGCCGTTCCCCTCACTATTAGCTTTCTGAGTAAGTTGAGAAGTATATCTTGTATATTAAAACTTTTCCTAAGATCAGTTTCCTTTTGTTTTCTCAGTTGGAAATTATGGCACAGTTGAGAAATTGAAGTATTTCATCTATTTTAATTACTGAACATAGCTTTGTTAGATCTCAGTCACATGGATTCATTGTGGCATCTGATTTTTTCTAAACCACTCTTAATTCTTTTTCCCCCAAACATATAAACTTTTTTTGTTAAATTTCACCATCTTGCTTTTAATTATTGTTGATTCTTCAATCAAATAATAAAACTAAGCTCTTATATTGCTGCTATTTACAAGGAGTTAGAGTTCCAATATGCCTATTGTTTACCTATAGCCTGAACCCAAGCATCTTAATGAAATGCAATATTCTAAGTTAGCCTAATTCTATATTAAAAAAATTGAATAGGGAAGGAAATGCAATTCTGGAACACCCTTATTCATCCTTATCTTTGCAGTTAGTGCTTCTTTGTTCTGTGGGGCTCTGAAGTGATTTTCCATTAACGCAGACAGAATTCCCACAGCACAGCACTGTGGGTACTATCACAAGCATTTACAATAGTCTTTTGTGAATTCTGTTTTCAAATTCCCTACAGTTATTATTATTGTCAGAGTAAGTATGTTTCTGTTGTAATTCTTATAGTACAAAAATGAATTAATTGCAATTCTGCCACCGATGGATGGAAGGCAACACGGTGTCTTGTTCTCTGAGTCATCTTCCTGATTTTTTATTTATTTATTTTTAATTCCCTATACAATAAGTGTGGCAGAATTAACCTCACAGTTAGTGAGGTAGGCCATAAGAGACTGTAACTCACTGTCTCTCATTAAATTAATATTATAACAGCATCTGGTGATTGGTAACAGTGCAGTTGATGAGCTTCCTCTATTTAAAAGAAGGACAGAAGTCTTCTCCTTTGCTTCCCTGTGCTCTCTGTTCAATTTTACAGTGCTTCTATGGCAAACATCCTGAAGCTCGGCCCCACTGCCTCTTGTGTGTTGCTGTAAGTGTCTGACAATGGAAAGCCAAATTATTGGAGCAGGGCTGTGGTATGGAAGTATTTCATACCTATTTTATTCTGAATCCCTATATTCTGGTAAAGAAATCTTCTATCTTAGAGTGTTGCTGGATGCAATAGACAGTTCCTATTTTTTTTCAGTCTCCATTAGTATCTTCCTACACAACCTCAGGAGAAATTAAAGCTATTATTCTGTGGGTGTAGCAAAGCTGAAAACACCTTGTGTTCAAACCACCTGAGAGAATTATTTGGGCAGTGTATCACTCTTAGCTTCGGTGAATAAGACTGACATACCACGAGAAATATCCAAAGAAAGAGACAAGACTGCTGAAGAGCTAAAAACATGATCTACATCTTATAAAGTGCACATGGGGTGGAAATTTCTTGCATTCATCTTCATTTGTACTGGAAGTCCATCACACTGCTGACATGATTTTGCCTTCTGTGTTGCACATTATTCTTGTTAGAAGTTTTAGAGGAAATTATCTTTCTTTAAAAAATAAAAATAATAAAAATTGATTGCTTCATTGTTATTAGTACTTTTTTTTGCACCACGTTAGCTTCATTTTAGTAGCCTGAAATACACTGTCAGCTAGTTGAATTCATGTCACTGTAGGCCTTCATTTAATAAAAGTCCGGATTTAAGCAGTGGAACCTCTACGTTTGACTGTCCTGAACAAAAATGCTGCTGGTTGTTTATCTGTGTCAGGAGTTAATCTGCCTAGACAACCCATATTCAAACTTAGACCTCTGAAACCTCACTCAGTCTCAACATACTCTTACTGGATGACCTAATGTACAAGTGACCATTGAATTCAGTGGTCTTTTTTTGTAGCTAATGGCTTGAAAGAAGGAGATACCATGAACAGCAATGGATGAGAACATAAAAATGGCCCTGCTGTGTCAGACTGTTGGCTATTTTAGTAGTAGCTATCATGATACTTATAGAAAAAGAGCGAAAGCAGGCTGAACTTAATGCATCCCTGAGAACTCTTCAGTTGTGTTTAACTAAGGCATTTCTAATGGAGAGTGTGATTTCTGTCTATTCAGCAACCCTGAATACTGGTCTCATCTAGGATTTTATGCTGTTTCCCATTGATTCTATGTAAGATAATCATCCACTGCATGTTCTGACAGGTGAGCCATGGCATTAGTGTGAAGAAATACTTTTGGTTTGTTTTGAATCAGACTTCTATAAGTTTTATTGTATTTTTCTTCTTTTGGATAAGATAACAAACCATCATTT